TTCATCCCTGACCTCCTTGTTCCGTCGCCAATGGCAGCTCAAGTCTGTGATTGGTTGAACCCCTAGTCTTGTGCGGGCCCTGCGCCAGCCCCTGGCTGTGACTTGGGGGTCCATTCTGCACCCTTTGCTGTAGGATCACCTCATCTCCAGGGACGCCCTCTGGCAAACTTTTCCCAGGCAGCCTCTGAGCAGCCTCTAGGTCCTGCCTGTGCCATGCAGACCTCAAGAGATGACTTTGAAGTCAAGCTTTAAGGTCACTGTCTCCGTCTGCTTGGGTTGCCTTAATACTGGGTGGCTTCAACAGCAGACACTTATTTCTCAAAGGTCTGGAGGTTGCAGGTCCTAGTTCACGGTGTGGGAGCTCTCCTCTCACTCTGTCCTCAGGCGGCCTCCCCTGTGTGTGCAGGTATAGAGAAAGATCTCTCTCTCTCTCTCTCTCTCTCTGTTCTTTGAAGGCCATCAGTCCTATCAGACGATAATCCGTCTTTATTACCTCAATTAATTTTAATTACTTCGTAAAAGCCCTCTGTCCAGATACAGTCCCATTGGGGGTTTGGATTTCAACATATGAAGAGCCATGGGGTGGGGGACGGTGACGACATGATCCAGTCTAGAACAGCCTCTGTCTGCCTCACCACACTGTGAGGCCAAGTTCCTGGGGAACTCTGACCGTGGATCTCTTTTCCAGAGTTCAAAAGAGGGTAGAAGGGACAGTGGATTCTCTTGGCCCTGGACGTTGTCTGGTGCAGGAAAAATGATACGTATGTGGCTGGTAGATGAGGAAAAGGAACGAAGGTGACATTTTTAACAGCAAAACAGAACAGTTGAGACTTGGGAGACCTGAGTCTTAATCTTTTAATGATTTTCTGTGTGACCCTAAAGTGACATAATCTCCTCTTGGGCCTTATCCCTTGTTCCCCTAACATTGTGGGGGTGTGTTGACCTGCTTTGGAAGGTGGTTGAGGGGAACCAGCAGAAGACGTAATTGCAGGAGCCTTTTATGAAAACATGAAGATGCTTTCAGATGCTGTAAATAAAAATAATGCAGAAGAGTATACCTCCGTTCAAAACGCACAACATCTGCAGAGAAAAGCATGAGCTCTAGTAACTGAAGCTCGGTCCCCTGGGCCTTGTGGGGTTGCTAAGAGGGGAAATGAGGCCACCCATCCAGGGGGTGAAAGGAAAGCTTGGGGAAATCATCTAACTGAAGAGAGATGGATTCTGTGAAATTCAGGACAACACAGAAAGCATTCTGCACAATCCTCCAGAGATGGTTTGTCAAAGAGAAGCAAATCCTTCAGGACATTCTCTTTAATATACTTTTAGTAAATGTTTTATTGTATTGGATTATGGGAATTAAGGGAATGAAGAATCCATACCGTATTTTTCAAAAGCAATATTTTTAGAATCACAAATTATATTGAAATTTTTATACCAAGAAAATAAAAACAAAGATCAGAAGAACTAAACAGCATTTATATATGTCTCTACAGAGATATATATGTATATTAGCAAATTGAAATATAGCAAATACACACAAAAACACCCACATAAAAGAGATGCAAATTATATTTTTGACACATTTTCAGCACAATCACCTAATACAATTTTCTTTTATAGGCAGAGGTAATAAATAGTGCAAATGTATATTTATGGTGTATTTGACAAATGTATTTGCTTTGAGTCGGAGGGAAAAGCTCCAGTGGTTTTACTGTGGAAATGCTTCCCATCTACCTGGATTAAATTGCTCTCCTTTCTTCTGGATTTCTCACTGTGACCGGGTCTATGGTGAGAACCACCTTTTGGCCTCAGAGCTTGGCATATGCTTGGAGTAAAGGTTCGGAGCGTCCTTGAAAATCAAGAAGTCATGGTGTTTGCGTGGGTTACTGTCTTGTCTCCTCTCGTAGCCTCCATGCTCCATGCTCCTTGAGAGTAAGGACAATGCCTGTTCTTAGATTCTTAGAAGATTCTGTACAAATCTTCCAGAACAGTAATTTGCACGTGAGGGGTACCTCACCAGACCGTGTTTGTTATTGCAAGAGGGCTGGTGAGGTCTTCAGAGAAGCAGGCATGTGCTGTGTGCTCCAAGAAGACACCCCCCACACACACACACACATCAGTGTGTCCAAAAATCAGACTTATGCTTAATCCAAGATACGATAGTATTTCCCTACCTGGTGAACTGAACTTCCAAAGATCCCTCTCTCCAGTGTGTCCAATGGGGGTGCAGGTGCAGACAGCTCAGTTTGGTGAGAAGGAGTGGACTTTAGATTAAACAAGCATGGAGTGGTACAACCTACAGGTCCGGGTAGGTAGAAAGCAAGCCCAGAGGCTCAGCCCTGGCAAGGAAGGTGCAGCTAGAGTGTAGGAGTAGAAAATGAGGTTCTGAGACCTTGGACTCTTAGCTAGAGAGCCCATGCCCCACCCCAGGGTGCGCTTGGGGAAGGCTGCCTCAGGCCTGTGGTGTGATTATTCCCAGGGAAACCTGTGGGCAAATTTGCCCTCAGAGCAGGGATAAGGAACCACCCCAGGGCATGTGGAAAGTGAATACCCAACTTTTCTATCAACATGGATGAGACTAGAGGAGATTATGCTGAGTGAAATAAGTCAAGCAGAGAGAGTCAATTATCATTACTTGTGGAGCATAAGGAATAACACGGAGGACATTGGGAGATGGAGAGGAGAAGTGAATTGGGGGAAATTGGAGGGGGAGACAAACCATGAGAGACTGTGGACTCTGAGAAACAAACTGAAGGTTTTGGAGGGGAGGGGATGGGGTGTTGGGTGAGCCTGGTGGTGGGTATTGTGGAAGGCACGTATTGCATGGAGCACTGGGTATGGTGCATAAACAATGAATGCTGGAACACTGAAAAAATAAAATAAAATTTAAAAGGAAGGAAGAAAGAATGGATGGATGGATCAGAGTTGGTAGGGATAGGGAGCTGTCATCAGACCCATGCCAGAGCCCAGTAGTGCTTGCCTTGGGGACAATGTCCAGAGAGACTACTCAGACACTGGTGGCTAATTTCATAACAAAGGCTTAGCGGGTGAACAGTCCTTTCTTGTGGATGCCTCGAGCCCTGAGTGCTCAGCAAACCTGCCAAGCTCTGGATGTAAGGGAACTTCAGCGAACTGAGAGGCCGTGAGATTTTGTCTGGCCCTTCCCTATATGGTTCCTTTCTTAGTTCCATGTCTGGTAAGAAGGGCCTCATTACCAAGGACCCGGGGTTTCCTTCTTTCATATGTGTGTGTGTCTCTCTCTCCAGGCCTGAAAATGAGGCCCAGACCACCCCCACCACACTGCTGTGAGCAGATATATTTAAATTTCTTTAAGCTTGGGTGACATCCTCGGATGAGGAGCTCTAAGTACCAAGAATTATTGTTATTACTATGTAGTTACTGCCTAGCATGCAGCGAATTACCCTGTCCTGCTGTGTAAAAGATGGATAGTGGGATGGGGAAGTGCAGAAGGAGGAGAGGGGGCGAGAGGCGGGAAGAACCAGTCAGAAGTACTCAGGAGGAGCTGGACTGGGGCGCTCCACGCGTGGCTGCTTCGCCAGGCACACTCAGACGGCTGGGAGCAAGAAACCATTTCTCTCCACGCAGCTAAAGTAAGACACCATGAAGATGCTAGGACTGGAGGAGAAGCCTATGCCAGGTCCTGAAGGCATGGATTTGTAGCCCAATTCATACACGGACAGCCATGCCCTGGACAAGCTAATGAACCTGTCTGGTCTTGGTTTGTGGCCCTTGGCACATAGAAAGCTCCAAACTGTTGTAGCAATTGTTACTACGAGCACTGTTGCTATTTTATCAGGCCTCGGTCCTGTTGTCAGTGACTTGCAGAAGGACCCAGGACATGATGTTCTAAGCACTGTTTTCAAATGGAGTCAGGATTTCCCTGCAGTCGCCGAAGAGATCCAGGAGACATGGAAACCCGTGGCCAGTGCGGAGCCACTGGAAGGAGTCACATGGATGCCTCCCGGAATTGCCGATGACTCGCCCTGGATGGGTCTCAGTTCAACCTAAAAATGATTGTTGAGAGGTGACAGTCTTGCTAATGGACTCTGAGTTTCTGTTTATGGCAGAGCGGCCAACATGGCATGCGACTGATCAATGTAGAGTAAAGGTCAGTAACCCATATCCACCTGTCCATCAACCAATCCGGAGAATATTCTGGAAGCCAGTGCTGAACACTGGGCCTGCAATTCCTCTCCGAGGATTCAGGAGCAGATGTGGGGCAGGTGGGTCTTTGGGGAGATATCACACCGTATCTCTGCCTCGCACCCACCTCACAGGGCTGGGACACCCTCTGCGGGTACGCAATCACCAGGCGAGCTTGGCCAGGCCTGGGGGAGTCCCTTGTAAGAAGAATCAGACTTCTGCCCACAGAGAACTAATGACAGAGGAGGTAAGACAAAGCCTCCAGGGAGAAACAACCAATAGTACAAAGCGAGAAACCACTGGAGAGTTAGCTCACTCAAGTCTGGATTCAGAGAGTCCTGTCTGCTCCAGGGGTCAGAGAAAGCTTTGCTGCTTCCTGGGAGATCATGGGGCAACTTGATACCGAACATCAGATCTAGAATGCAAATACATTCTCCTCGCCCCACCCAGACACACACACACACAATGGTACACTTAGGGGATATGCAGCTACTGTCAAACCAAGGTAAAAAATGACCGTGTCTTAATAACTAGTCACCTGATTTACAAATGGGTTGGTGCTGGGAGTTGGATTCTTTTCCCATTCAATCGTTTGAAGTGATCTGATGCTTTGGGGACACGCAACTGAAAGCCCTCGCCCCCGTCCTTCCAGGAATGGATCAATAAGAATTAATTCAAAAGAACCAGCTTCACCCTGAATAAAAGAAACACAGTACAGGAATGGCAGAAACTGTTGGGCTGCTGGGCGTGCAAGCCGCACCCCATCTCTCCTTTCCCTCACGCCTTTCCTTCTTCTCATCCCCACCTGGATCTCTTCCTGCAGGGCAGGACTTCCGGCCATGCGCCTGGTGAATGGTCACCCCACAGGTGGTTCATTGAAAGGTGTCCTCTCCATCTTCCCTCTTGAAGCCTCAAGAATCAGGTCTCCAACTCCTCTATTAAATTAATAAAACAAAACACTTTTTAAAAGGTAAGGAACACCGTACTGAAGAGAAAAGGCTGTGAGATGACAAGCGACTTAAACTCCATGGGGGCACACTGTCCTGGTTCTTTTCCATTTTGGGGAAGCACACACGGGTGCAAAGAACTGGGTGCACTCACGAATGCATATATCCTGTTTTGGAAGGAGCCCACCTTGAAATCCGCTCCCTGCCATCACGCCAGACCTTCAGTGCATTAACTGAGATTTAGTAAAACCAACCAACCAACAACTGCCTTGTCAGTATGGGGGAAAATTTCACTGGGAAGCCAAGTGGGGTTAGAGGGATATAAACAACTCAGCCCCACTTACGATACAGGATTCTAAGGGCCAGATAAAGTGCTCTGTGTCCCACATCTGCTTCCCAGACGGAGCAGGTGGGAGCACAGTTAGGGAGAACTGGTGTGTGAGAAAGGAATGGGTTACTTTGAGTCCTTTTACTTAAAGTAATGAAAGAATCATTGCATTGCCTGCAGCACTAAAAGTTTGCAACAGATGACCTGGCTTTGTTCTTAAAAAAAAGTGGCGAGTGGCGAACTGTACTGCAAGCCAATGAGAGAAGCAAGTGCCTTCTGTGGTGGGAGAGAATTTGTATGGAAAGTTGTCCGTTACAGATTGTGACCCATTCCTGACACAGTCTCTCCCTTCTGCTCCTTCTCTCGGTTGGCTTGGAGGAAACCCGCTTCCAAGTTTGAGAATTCATCTTGTCTGATTAATGATGTGTACATAGAGATTTCTGTCTCATCTTCCTTCTCCTGGTCTTTTTTATTCCGTTGTTTGCTGGGCTGCAGCCCTGCGGATATAGATGGTTCTGCTGTGATAAATGTAAAGTTTGCATAAGCCATGTAACAGCAGGACAGCCTATTATCACTGTACATTTTCCATGGCTGTGCAAACCTCTGTAGGCTATTTTATTGCTAATAGATCCACAGAGAAACAGTAGTGATTTTACGACTCTTTTTAAAATGGAAATTCATGTTTGAGAAATACAACTGGGAGGAAACAGATGTAAACCACTTAAGCATTTGCAGAAAATTGAGATGCACACTCTTATTTACAGACCTACATAGCCTCCATCGCTTTATTTTCGAAATTAAAATAAGCAATCTGTTTACCATGGGAAATGAGGAACTGTAAACTTGTTGTTTTTCCTTTTACCCGGCAATGGCCGCCATCGTTGGGTTTAATGGCAGAGCTGAAACAGGATGGCAATTTTTTTCCCCTTAGATTTTATTGTCTAGAACGCATTTCCCTCTCTAATCTGCACAAGAGGTAGGCGAGTGGGAAAGATTTTAGTATCACTGGATGTCTGAACTCACATTATGCTTTAACAGCTAAAATGATTACCACACACATTAGAAGGATTTTAACCAAGTACTTAACACCACCTGTAAATTGCCTAAAACATTGGGAGAGCCAACCAACCTCTACCAAAAAATGCTTTTATATGTCCCAACACAAAAGCACAGCCTGTGCAAAAATATTCATTCCTGACTTGTCCCGACCTTCTTATATATTCGTGACTTGCGGCAAATCTCACATTTTGGAGAGGAGCTGTAAATTGAAGACTCACAGAACAGCACATCAGTGAGATGCTTATGCATTGTGTTTCTCAGAGCAAGTTCCTTATGACATGTGGAGGTGCCTCTAATTTTTATTGGTTTTTTTTTGTTTATTTTACGTTTTGGAACCATATTTTTTAAAAAATGTGGTAAAATAGATATAAGACGAATTGTATCATTTGGACCATTTCTATGCACGCAATTCAGCAGCATGAAGGACGCACACATTGCTGGACAACCATCACCGCCCTACCTCTCCAGAAATTTTTCATCTTCCCCAACAGAAACTCTACTGGTTAATCATCAACTCTTCATCACCTCCCCATGGCCCCTTGTAACTTCCGTTCTACGTCCTGTCACTACAAACATGACTACTCTAGGTACCTCAGATAAGCAGAGTTATACAGTATTTGTTCTTCCATGTCGAGCTTATTTCGCTCAGTATAATGGATTCAGGGCTCATTGGTGGTGTAGGATGTATCAGAATTTCTTTTTCCTTTTTAAGGCTGAATCGTACTCCTTGTACATACATGCCATATTTTGTTATCCACTCATCTGATTTGAACACTGAGGAGTATCCCCAGTGCCACAGGGATGGAGGCGACCTGCCTTTTGCTGAGCATTACAAAGCCCCCCCAATAAGCCACAGGGAAGGAGAATGGCCCAGGACCAGATTTGCAAAGTGAGGCAGGGAGGCTTCCTGTGACCCGTACATTTCTGGTCTCTGTGTAATTGCTGGCTCTTTGAATCTTTTGTTTACATCCTAGATCTTTATTTTAAATGTGAAAGGAGGTTAACCAAACCCTCTTAGAAACTGAAATTTTTCTCAGAGACAAGTTGTGATGGACATCAGTCCAACATGTTCTCCATGTTCTTTTGCAACCTCAATACCCACTTTCCTCATCCCAGGCCATCACTCGTGCTGTCTTGGAGGAGGAATTGGGAAGATCACTTGTACCATTTTAGAGGAGGCATTGGGAAGACTGCCTGAGCACAGTCTTTTGGTCACATCCAGCAGGGAACACACACCATGAGCCAGACTCTGAGCAGACCCATTCTTAGTGAAAAGTGTACTTTCTGGAAATGGTATTGAATACATTCACGAACCGATTCGCCAAGCTCTCCTCCCTCTTACACTGGAGAAATTAAACTGCCCTCTATTCACCTTGTTATCTCAGGGCCTGTGTCATGTACAGGAGCTTCTGTGTATGGCCCCTGTGGTGACACAAACTAATTACAGACATGTGTGGCGGAAGCTTCATGGCTCAGATGCTATCACTGCCTGGGCTCGGTGACCACAGCTTCCCATGAACTCACCCCTGCTCTCTGCTTTGCCAGGTGCTGTGATTAACAAAGTGTGGGGTGGTGTTCACTGTACCTGCAAAATTAATTTCTGTCATCAGTGTATCATCCAACAATTAAATAACCTTGGGGTTTGCCTAAACAGCTCTGACATTTTACCAAAGGCAAATGGACATTCATTGAGAGGAATTTTTTTTTAAATATTTTATTTATTTATTTGACAGACGGAGATCACAAGTAGGCAGAGAGAGAGGAGGAAGCAGGCTCCCTGCTAAGCAGAGAGCCCGATGCGGGGCTCGATCCCAGGACCCTGAGATCATGACCTGAGCTGAAGGTGGAGGCTTTAACCCACTGAGCCACCCAGGCGCCCCAAGAGGAAATTTTATCAATGGAGAGGTTCTTTGGCATTGATGAAAGATTTTCATATACATTTATTTATTCTACACAATGCCAATGTGGTGAGGTCTTGAGGATAGCTCTTTTATCCCCACTTTATGGATGAGGTCAGGTGACTTGTTCATTGACTACAAGCGAAGGAGCTGTTTCTTCTGAGGTGAGCCCACATTCCCTGCCCAGAAATGCCAGCCTCATCGCAATACCTTCTCTCTTTCTCTGCATATGCCCTCTCCCTGAGTGCTCGTGTCATTCACTCTAGGCTTAACACCCCCACAGCCATTATCTCTTCTACTTTCCCCACGCCTGATTCAAAACTTGGCCTTCAACTTTTGACTTTGCTCATTCCTCCAACCACCTTCCCTGGAACACAGAACAGCTGGTCATGCCTCTCCTCAAGGCTCTGGAGGCTGCCAGGCTTGGGCCACCTCCTCATCCCGGTGGCAGTCTCCCAGAGATCTCCCATGCATTGGTATGTCTTCACACAAAAGTTAAACACAGCTTCTGCTAAAGCCACTTCCTTCACACCTGAAACATTTTTGTTAGGAATTTCATCAAGATGATTTTATTTTGTTTTGGGTATTTTTGTTTCATTTTTTGTTTGTTTGGTTGGATTTTTTGTTTTGGTTTGGTTTGGTTTGAGTTTTTTGGTTAGCAAGCTGATTTGTCTGTTCATGACCTTAGGAGCCATAATCTTTTCTCTCTTTAAATTCTCCCCAAGCTTTCATTGCATCCACTCTAATTCACCACTGGCTCCCCGCCCCACCCGACCCACCATGCCTCATCCACATCCCTAGAATGGCCTGCCACTTTCATGGATACTAAAATTAATTCTAACACTTCTTGAGTGGCACCTAAATATCAGACATATGTTCTTAAAATAACCCCATGGGATAAGCTTAATTGTTCATCCCATTTTACAGATGCAGAAACTGAGGCACCGAGAAATTAACTTGCTCAGAATCCCACAGCTTCAAACCCATAGGGGTTTGAAGCCAGACAGCCCAACTCCAAAGTACATTAACCACTACACCTCGGGTAGCTCCCCACAATTTATCACCATCTGCCTCCCTTCCTGTTATACTACTTCCTTCTTGAAGAGAATGAGTAGAGTACTTGACCTTGGCCTGCTAAGTGAAATAGTAATAAAGTTCTTTCAACTTTCCTGAACACCCCCCCCCCCCGCCGCTCCCCTTTTCATGGCCTCCAGAGCAAAGCCAGTCTTATCTGCCAATGAAGATCAGGGATTGAATGACTTGCAGACGTGGTCCTGGGTTCCATTTCAACAAACAGCCAGAGGGCTGACGGTCTGGGCACCTGTTTTTCCCAGGTAAGGAGAATTCACACCATACATGGTCCCTCTGTCTCTCTTATTTTCTTCTACCTTGCACAAAGTTTTCAGGGAGTCTTCTGAATTCTCTTCTCTTCTATCTCTCCTGGAAGATGAAAGCGAGCAAGCAGCCAGCTCCCGCCTTTTCCCTGCTGCTGGATTCCTGTGGATGTCTTCACCAGCATGATCTGAAATTGCAGCAGGGTCTTGCTCCCCTTTCCAGCTGATTTGCCCCAAGTGCCACCATGGTGCCTCCGACCCAAACCAGGGGGAAGATGATCATCACTCTGAATCTTCAAATTCATGCAGATTCAATACTATGGTATTCTAGGAATTTCCTTTCTTTTTTCCTTCCCCTGCAGGTTTTGCACAACACTTATCCATTCATTTCCTCCCTCCCCAGGTTCCCCTCTATCTTACCAGCTGCTCCCAGATACATGGCTTCATTGAAAGCATGTTGAATCTCACAGCACCCTGTGAGATGGGGAGAGATGAGTGCTTCTATCCCTAAGCGGTGCCTCTAAGGGAATCTGCTTCCCACTTACTCAACATGTTAACTTCTTCTTCCAGGAAGCCTTCCTGGATCACCTTTCCCAGTCATTGGCCTTTCTCTGACCTCACAGAATCTACTTTCTGGCTTCTACATTCTACAATTCATCCCATTTTGCCTCATGGCATTTCTTGTATTATGGTCATGAATTGTTATTAATGTCTCATATATTTATGCTTTTGTCTCCTCAACTAAATTTTAAGTTCCTTGAAGGGGTTTATACTTCTGGGTATTCTTCATACTGCCTTGATTTCAATAATTTTGCTCTTTGATTTAAGCTCTGGTTGGATAGCAAAATACATTTTATTGAGCGCCCAAAGCAAGAGGATTAGGTGAGTCATTTTGAAATTACGTGAGTTCTAGTTAACCATTTTCCCTTTTGCCAGCTGGCATTCTATTTCTACATTAATGAATGAACAAAGGAGCTAACAGCAAGCAGGTTATCCACCAGCTTATAATAAGAAATAAGAAAACCTTTTTTTCAGCATGAAATTTATAAAAATATAAAATATAAAACAATTTCTTTATGGGCAGCAGTGTTATTTACTGATTAAGAAGATGCATGATGTGGGCTGAATTGTATCCTCCCAAAATTCATACGTTCACGTCCTAACCCCTAGTGCCCTTGGTACATAACCATAGTCAGAGAACAGGTCTTTAAAGACATGATTAAGTTAAAATGAGGTGGTTAGGGTTGGCCCTAATTCCATACGAATGTATCCTTATAAAAAGAGGAAATTTGGACAATGCAGAGAGAGACCAAGCTGGGGAGTGACCATGAGGACACAGCAGGGAGGCTATCTGAAAGCTAAAGCAAGAGGTCTCAGGAGAAACCACTCCTGCGGAGGCCTCCATCTTGGACTCCAGCCTCCAGAACTGTGAGAAAATCAATGTCTGTTGCTGTAGCCATGCGGTCTGTGGTATTTGGTTACGGTGGCCCGAGCGAACTAATACGATGCAGTTTGCACTCAAATAAACTTGGACTTTCTTCTGTCATTTAGTCACAGACTACATGCCTTAGCACATGTTATTTAACTTGTCTGTTCGTTTCCTCGTCTGTAAAGTGGGAATAGCAATGCCTGTGTCTCTGTGTTGTGAGGTGGTGAGGCCTCGGGGTTAAGGACAGGGCTTTGGAGGTGAACATCCAGAGCTGGAATCCGGGCTCTAAAACTTATTAACGGGGATGTCTTCAGAAAATTTCCTTCACTACCTACTTTGTGACGTTTTTATGAAGATTAGATGAGGGCTGTCAACAAATTCTCAGTGAATGTTGGCTTCTCTTTCTTATTCAGGGCAAAGGATGTGTTAGCCAACAGGTCTCAAATGCAAGGTCATCCCACCAGGAGGTGGACACATCGGGTTGTTTTGGCCTGATGCTCTGAAATATTTACTTCCTCTAACTCCCTTTGCTGGGATTCCACACTCACAACACAACCTTCTGACCACGCTTCCCCAAGGCCCCGCCAAAGGCTGTGGTCACCGAGTGTTCCAGTTCCTCCGACAATCGTATTTCTCATTGTGACCCTGCGACTTACCATCTCGCTGGGGCAGTGATCAAACTTCTCTGTCTTCATTTTCTAATTCACAGAAGGGGGATAATGTCAAGATATCATGATGGGTTGAGAAGGATAAGTGGCAGTAGAGATAATACCAGCTAACAAATATGGAGCACCAGTGTGGGGCAGCACGTGCTAAGTGCTCAGCAAACATGCTCTCCTTAAATGAGATATTGATACATTTTGGTACAGCACCTGGCACACTATTAAGTCTCGGGAAACAGTAGCCGGTAAATGACTGTGCGAATAGGAGATTACTTTGTGTAGCATATTTCCAGGAACAGAATATGCTGATTATGTGCATCTAAGTATTCCAGGGCCTGTAACAGCTTTCTGAATGTCAAATGACACATGGGCATTCTACTCCAATGCATTCTTGTCAAAAATGTGGTTAACGTGTCCATTCCTGGGAAATAGATCACCTCTTGGTATGCTGACAAAGTCAGATTTCTAATCTTAAGAGAAAAAAGGCCAAACTTTGACCTGGAAGATGTACCAAGCTAATGAATATAGGGGGCTTTTCCTAATTTTTTTTTTAACCTGCTGATTTCGGTAACCTTTATTTTCAATGGGTCTGCTATAATCCACTGTATGAACTTAGTGTAATTTACCTACCATTGCCCTAGTCTACGACATCTAAACTTAATCCTTTTTTTAAATTTTTATAAACAACACTATAAAGAACACGATTGTGTGTAAGACTTTGTTTTTGTTTGTACCATGGAAATGTTTTCGAACAAGCTAAGTGATGTTAAGATAATGTCAGTTATCAAGTTTCATCCCTTAAAAGGCATGAAAACCCACTCAGATGGTGGGTGGGGCTGAGGTGGCCATAGGGCAACAGAGGCCGAGAGTTTAGGACCAGTCCCCTAGGGTGCACTGAGTCACTGCTGAAGTCATTGGCGGAGAACGTGTCTCGTCTTCTAGCTCCTTGCCCGGACTCTAATCATTGGAGCCCGCATCACACACAGTACTCCGGAGTCGCCGCCTTCAACAGCCATGTCTTAGTGGGGTGCACGTGGGTCAATCAAGACTATTGAGAACCTAAGTTAAGGTTATTGCTTCCAGCCGCACACATTCCACTTGCAAACTGATTAGTACACTGAAGAGCTCTCATTGACATTTCGTGGTTTAACATAAAGATTTCTTGTTCATAGCTCAGGAAAGAGAGACAGATTTTCAAACAGCTGTCTAATATCTCTGTCAACACAGAAATTAAATAGATTTAGGAACTTCAGAAAAACATACGCACGTTTAATGCCCAGTAATGATCAATTCCAATTTCCAGTTGCAGAAATAGGAATTGTTTTCAATGTGTTCTGTGGGTTATTCCAAATAAACATCTGGCATCGTTTTATCCCTTTTTAATCATTTGAATGGTGATATTATAGGTCTATCTATTTATTTGTCCAGCTATAGAGCTGATGATACTATGAAGATATCGAAATGATTCCCTGTCTCTGTCATCTTTCAAATGAAAACATTACATTGTTTTAAAGCAACCATTTCACATATAGCATGTATCAACTTTGGATCGCAAACTTCCACCAGCTCAGTAGCATTCTTTTTTTTTTCTTTACCAATGAAAATGAAAGACAGAAACACTATCTTGCCTTCAGGGTCTGAAACGGGTTTGTGTGTGAAGGAGAATAACCCTTTGCTTTCCATCTTGGGGAGATAATGCACATGGAAGAATGTTCCAAAACTCCACACTTGGGTGTAATGTTCTTTTAGTTGACTTGTTAGTCTCAGCCAGTCAGAGGGGCAATCCTCATACAGGTAGCTTGTACAGAGAGATGAGAAACTTTGCGGGGTCTGGGTCTAAATCCTGGCTCTGCTCCATTCTGACTTTGTGACCTTGATCAACATGGTTCACTTCTCAGAGTCCCAGGTTCTTCATCTCCAGGGCAGATGGACAATGACCCATTATTAAACAAAATGCTGAGGTTGGAGCATCTCCATACAGTGTACACAGTAGGCGCAGAAGAGAGAACAGCCATCCTTGTGATGAGGACGGATCCAAACCCACAGATCCCATACCACAGCCTACTCTGATAAAGGAAATTGAACGGAGGAAATGGGCTCAGCTGAATTAGGCTATGTACCTGCAAAGATAATCCATTTATTTCTCTTGTTAATTTTTATAATAATAAGAGCAAGAGCAAATTACCTGGCGTCCAGAGGCCCAAACTGTTCCTCTCTCAGAGAGGTTCCTCAAACAAATGAGCAGGCCAGCTCCTGTTCAAGAAGAAAACATGGGAATTCAGAACCGCCGAGGGGCAATAGAAAGTAATCCAAATTAGAGATCATTTTGATAAGAGGTCACTTTGGAACTCCAAAGACAGTTTTAGTAATAGTTGATTTAGGCTAGTGTGTGATTGTGAACAAAACATGCCTCCAGTCTCTAAGTCCTATGGCTTCTTTCAGGTGATTATGAGGAAGCACAGTGGTTCATACAGCTGTATTTCCTTCACATAGCGGTGAGTTACAGCTCACCGTGGTGATGGGCCACAGGCCCATTGTGCATCTGGGCCAATCAAAGGCGATACGATATTCCATAAAACTTAGTATGATGTGGGGGCACCTGGGTGGCTCAGTGGGTTGAGCCTCTGCCTTCAGCTCAGGTCATGATCTCAGGGCCCTGGGATCGAGTCCTGCATCAGGCTCTCTGCTCAGCAGGGAGCCTGCTTCCTCCTCTCTCTCTCTCTGCTTGCCTCTCTGCCTACTTGTGATCTCTCTCTGTCAAATAAATAAAATCTTAAAAAAAAAAACAAAACTTAGTATGATGTGTTTGTTCTACTGCATTCGGTGTCCTGTCTCCTAGACAAGGGCTGTCCCCACATTCCTCAGCATCGGATAATATTCCAAATGCCACTTGCTTTACCCAAATCAAGGCTTTAAAAGTGGCAGTCCTATTTTCTGTACTCATGGGTGACACGGAATGTGGACAAAGAGCTCTGGATCTCAATCCTGGTTCTCTTCTCTCCTGACCATGTGACCAGTTCCCTTATCTGAGCAATGGGAATAATTGTGGTAGGTGCTTCGGGGGGAAGGAAACGAAGCTAAAGCCTATGAGATATTTTGTCTACCGCCTGGCACACCGTGACTGCCCACTGAAATGATGGAGTCAATGGTCGCTGCTTAGAGATACGTTATACAGACTCTAATAGAAAGGAGAATGGGTCATTAGTTTTAGCAAAGCCAGATTTGCTTTTGGCTGAGGTGCTGGAGGTAGATATGCCTTTTGAAAGAGTCACAGAATTAATGCTGGCTCACAAATCTGAGACCCAGAAATAAGTAGGAAAAGCTCAAAGAACATTATTTGCTCTCCCTTTTACTTCCCTTTCAGTCTGCTCTTCAAAAGAAGCCATCTTCGGGGCGCCTGGGTGGCGCATGGGTTAAAGCCTCTGCCTTCGGCTCTGATCATGATCCCAGGGTGTTTTTTGTGTGTTTTTTGTGTGTTTTTTGTGTGTGATTGTGTGTTTTTTCTCCTTAAATCTGGGATCGAGCCCTGAATCAGGCTCTCTGCTCAGCAGGGAGCCTGCTTCCCCCTCTCTCTCTGCCTGCCTCTCTGCCTACTTGTGATCTCTGTCAAATAAAAAAAAATAAAATAAAATCTTTAAAAAAAAAGCCACCTTCAAGGATGCCCCTTTCCCCACCGCCCTGAGGTAACACTGTTGTGTGTTTTGTGTTAATCATTCTCCTGCTATGCCTAAAATTTTCTGCATATCTCTGAAAGAGGTATTTTTAGATTTGCCTCCATTTGCTCTTTTCGCTTGACATTCTATCTGTGAAACTCACCCATGTCGTTGTCCGTGGTCCTCACTTACTCACCTTTACTGCCGTGCTCCTGGCTACAAATACAGCACAGTGTGTTCGTCCAACCCATTGCTTATGGACATCCCTGTTCTTTCTAGTCTTTGCTCCTGTGAGCCTTCTTCCATGTCTCCTGTCACTGGCATGCAATAGTTTTACGAGGATACTTATGATGAACAATTTTAGAAGTTTACTGAATTCCATACCTGTTGAGATGATTGTGTATTTTTTCTCCTTAAATCTCTTGATATAGTATATTAAAGTGAAAATTTTTCCTAATATTGAACCATTGGTGAATTTCTGGAGTAAACTCTACTTGATCTCTTATTTGTTAAAGAATTTTTTTACTTTTATTTTATTTAGTATTTATAGATCACAATCTGTCTTTATCTAGATTTGATATCAAGATTATACCAGCCTCAATAAATTACTTAAAAAGTCTTTCCCTCTCTTTCTTCCTTTCTATCTTCCTTCTTTCCTTCCTTCCTTCTTCTTTTCTTTTTTTTTTAATGCTTTGAGAAAACCTTGTGTAACATAATAATCATTTATTTCTTGAAAGTTTAGTGGACCTGGAGTTTTCCTTGTGAAAACATTTGAATGGTTATTTAACTAGATATCCTTCTTATTCAAAAGTAGTTATATATTTCTAGAGATTTGTCCACTTTACCTGTATGTTCAAATGTGCCAGCATAGAATTGTCTAAAATATTCTCTTAGGTCTGCTAACACCTATAGCTTATTCCTTTTTCTCATTCTTACCATTGTTAATCAGCATCTCTCTCTTTTCAAGATGAGTCTTGCCAGGGTTTGCCCACATTGTTAATCTTTGTAAAGAACAACTTTTTAGCATAATCAGCCTCTCTGGAGTATTTCTGTCATCCTTATTTCATTAGTTTCTGCTTTTTAATATTCCCTTTCTTCTACTTTAAGTTTATTGTGCTGTTATTTTTCTAATTTCTTATATCTTTAATTTTAAGTCCTTTTTCTCTCTAATACATGTTTATCTCTATGAAAGTACCACTTTCACTGTATCCCACAAGATTTTAAAAAATTAAACCACTGGGGGGGTGCCTGAGTGGCTCAGTTAGTTGAGCGTCCAGCTCTTGGTTTCAGCTCAGGTCATGGTCTCAAGACCTACATCGGGCTGTGCACTCAGTGGGGAGTCTGCTTGAGATTCTCTAGCTCCCTCTCCCTCTGACCCTCCTCCAGCTCTCTCTCCTTTCAAATAAATAAATAAATCTTTTAAAAAAAATAAGCCCTTTATTTTGAGATGGTTATGGATTCACACACGGTTGTAAGAAATAATTCAGAGAGAGCACGTCTACACTTCATCCAGTTTCCCCAGTAGTATCATCTTTTTAAAAAAAAGATTTTATTTATGTATTTGACAGACAGAGATCACAGGTAGGCAGAGAGGCAGGCAGGGGGGTGGGGGGGAGCAGGTCTCCCGCTGAGCAGAGAGCCCGATGTGGGGCTGGATCCCAGGACCCTGGGATCATGACCTGAGCTGAAGGCAGAGGCTTTAACCCACTGAGCCACCCAGGCGCCCTCCCCAGTGGTAACATCTTATAAAACTTCAGCACCATATCACAACCAGGATATCAACACTGACACAGCCAAGGCACAGAATGTTTTCATCTTTGCAGGGGTCCTTCATGTTGCTCTTCTCATGGTCACTCTAGTTTTCTTTCTGCCTCCATCATCTCCTTAACTCCTGGCAACAACTAACCTGTTGCCCATTTGTTTAATTTTGTCCTCTCAAGAATGTTATATAAGTGAAATTACACAATATGAAACCTTTGGGGATTGGCTTCTTTCACTTATCGTAACTCTCTGCAGATGTATTTAGACTATTGGATGTATCCATAATCAAAACTTGTTCTTTCTTGCTGCTGAATACTATTCCATTGTATGGATGTACCAAGTTTGTTCCACCTTTGATGCATTGAAAGATATTTGGGTTGCTTCTTTTTTGGCCACTACCAATAAAGCTCCATGAACATTGATATATAGGTTTTGTACGAACATGAGTTTTCATTTCTCTGGGATAAATCCGCAGGACTACAATTGTTGGGTCATATGGTAGTTGCATGTTTAGTTTTTTGGAGAAATTGCCAAACTGTTTTTTGAAGTGGCAGTTGTACACTTTAGATTCCTACAGTAATGTAGGAGTGATCCAGTTTCTCTGCATCCTCATCAGCATTTGGTGTTGTTGCTTTTTTTTTTAATTTTACCTGTTCTGATAGGATTGTATCAATAACTCATTATAATTTTAATTTGCATTTCCCTAGATTAATGATGTTAAACATCTTCTCATGTGCTTATTTTTCATCTGCATATCTTTTTCAGTAAAATATCTCTTCACTTCATTTGCCCATGTTCTAATTGATTAGTTTGATTTTTGCTATTGAGCTTTGAAACTTCTTTATGTATTCTAGATACTAGTAGTTCTTCATTCCACAAGTTTGATTGATAATATTTCTCTTATTTATTTTTTTCATTTTGAGCATCTTCTCATTTTCACCAAGAACTATGAGTAACCATGGCTACTTTAAAGCACATTCCTTAAATGTTCAAATAAAACAGATTTTTAGAAATTATCTTTTTGTAATTTATTTGTAATTTAATTTCATTGTTGTCAGTAAATGTGACTGGACACATACCAATTATTTGAAATTTGTCAATATTTGCCTTTGGCTTATAAGGTGGTCAAATTCCATCATTATTTTCTGTGTGCTTGAAAATAACCTTTATTCTCTGGTATTAGAAATACTATTGAAAAGAAAAAGAAAAAGAAAGAAATACTATTGATATATGTCCATTAGATTAATCTTATGATGTTTAATTCTTCTATATTCTTATTTTTTTCTCTTCTTAATTTATCAACCAATGAATGTCTCTCTCAATGACAATTTGTCATTTCTTCTTATATTCTGTCAATTCTCATTTTACATTTGGGGGGAGGGGTAAACAAAATCTTAAACAGGCTCCACACCCAGCATGGAGCCCAATGTAGGGCTCTATCTCACAATCATCCTGAGATCATGACCTAAGCCAAAATCAAAAGTTTGATGCTTAAACCACTAAGGCACCCAGGCACCCCTGTGTTATGTATTTTGAAGATTTATTACTAAGTACATACAATTTCCTAGTGAATTAAACTTTTTAAAATATGTACTGACACTCATTATCTACAGTAATGCTTTTCAACTAAGGTCTATTTTCTCCACTATTAGTATGCTAGTTTGCTTTTGGTTCTTATGTACCTGTTGTGATAGAGTTGTTCCTCCAATTTGTTCTCCTCACCTTTTATGATATGATTCTTCTTCTCTCCTAGTTTTACCTGGAGATTTGAACTCCTGAGTAAAGACTACATTTCCCAGCCTCCCTTGCAGCTA